TTGTTCTACTTGTAAAACCATTCAAAGAAATTACTGTGGAAAGCCAGCAAACGAGAAGCCACTTCATCTTCAATAATTCCCACAATAGAGACTCTGAAATTATTCTTATCAACAGCAAAGATCAGTAGTTCCTTTAGTGGCATTAATACCACAACAGAAGAACTAGAAAATCCAATAAAAAAAGATTTTCAGCATATATAGAAAACAAGTCTTTATGCTTGTCATTTTTATTAGATTCAAAATGAAATTTCAAAAAGAGGATATGCTAGAGGAAATCTCAATAAGAATTAAATTCTGAAGCTTCTATTTCTGAAAGTGACCAAGATGGAGGTGAATTTCTAAGTTTTTCTGATTTATTTGATGAATTAGCTTCTGATGAATGAAAGAATGAAGAATAGCATGTTTTTAAAAAAAAAGAAAAAAAACGAAAGAGATGAACAAACGTTTTGATCAAGAATTAGAAACATATTTACATTTATTCCTAATTTGAGCAAAATAGTTATGAAATATTTAAGTACCTCAGCATCTTCCATTGAAAGTGAAAAAAATTTCAGCACTGGAGGTAACATTTATGAGCTGGCAAAAAATAGGTTATGCCCTGAAAACACTTAAATTACAATTTAAGGGTTTTACAATGTAAATGTACATCCTTGAATTATAATTTAAGGGTTTTACAGTTTAAATATTAAATTTTTATTTGTTTTATATGTTTAAATTTTAAACTTATGAAACAAATAAAAATTTAATTTTTCTTCTTAACCTATTCAATACTTTTTTTTATGTAAAGTTTAAACTTTATATTATACGTTATACTATACTTATAATATGTATCGATAAAAAGGAATAATTTGATTAGTATAATTTTTTTAGTATTCAGATTGTCATGTAATAAATAATAAATATATAACAGAAATTTATTAGTTTTTATCACTAGCATTGTACTGTATGTAACATTCTAACAAAAATACCAAAATGTAAAATTGGCCGATTATCGAAACCGATTAATCGGGGGAATTGGCCGATACGGCCGATTACCAATTACTTACCGATTAATCGGTGCATCCTTAGTAAAAAGATTTAAACAAAAGTTATTTTTTCCTGAAAGTTTGAGCCAAAAACATGGGTGCACATTATACACAGCAAAATATGGTATTTGATAAAAACTGCCATGATAAATAAGTATTAGTTACAAAATTGAAGAAATATTTTTAAAAATAGACAATACAAAAAGTGTCTTCTAACTTTGTTGACTCCAGCATTCCATGGTGGAGTTGACCTTTCATTTGTGACTATTTGTCCACTTCAATATGCAAAACATTAAAAACATCCCTACGGTATAGTTATGTCAATGATTTAAATAAAAACTATAGTGCAAAAAAAACATATGAAAGAAAAATTATTTTATGCACAATTAAACTACCAAAAGTGGACAGAAATTTAATGTAAATATTTCAATATTTTTCTAAAAACAATCACTCCACACTTTTAAAATAGTGATAAATACTAAAAACAAATTTAAAGTTTGAAGACATAACACAAATAGTTTAAGTATTTGTTATGTCAATTTCATCTAGATTATCAGTACAGACTAGCTTGAGCATTAATATGGCAGATACATTAGGAACATTGATGCCCTGACTTTATTTATGTTTATAGATTTTGGAATTGCCAATTGAAAAATTAATTTAACAAAAGTCCTTATTCAGATTTTGATAACAGAAGTATTTAACAATATATTGACATCTAAAAAAAAAAAAATATGCTTTTTACACTTTATTCTAAGCAAAATTTCATTTTATGATGCATTTTGAAAAGTAAAAGAAAAAACATGCTTATGACTGCAATATTTTGTTTCAAGTTCTTGAAGACAATGATTATTTTTTATACAATTCATTGATACAACTCAAATAAAAATAAAAAAGAATACAAAGATCTGTGTTATAGTAATTTAATCATTACAAAATTACATTTTAAAGTAGGAGTTGGTATTCTAGAAATTTAATAAGTAAAATAAATATCATCACTCTGAAATTAGCTATTAAATATCATCATAGTCTTTATTTCGAAGTTATATATAGATGTAATCATCAGCTTAAAATTATCTATCACATACTATAAATAATCA